TAAGAAATCTACTTATACTGTTTGATTCCTTAAAAACTTAACTAAAAGCCTACCATAAATAGTTGGTTAACTGTACTTTATATATTATATACTGTATTCTTAAAGTAAGAGAAATGTTATTAAGAAAAATCATAAGAAAAAATGCATTTACTGTTCATTAAATACATTTACTGTTCATTAAGTGGAAGTGGATCCATCATCCATCACGAAGGTCTTTATCCTTGCGTTTTTCACAGTGAGTAGGCCGAGGAGGAAGAGGAGAGGTTGGTCTTGGTATCCAAGGGGTGGTAAAGGCAGAAGAAAATTTGTATGTAAGTGGAACTGCACATTTCAAACCCCTGTTGTTCAAGGGTCAAGTGTATATAAAGAGCTCCCAGTAATATTAATAAGCACAAGGCAGACAACCTATAGAAAATTGGATAAAGGACAGTAAACAGACTTTTGACAGCAGAAAAACAGAAATGCCTAAAAACATGACAGATGCCTAGCCTCCTTAGTAATCAGGGAAATACAAATTAGAACAGTAAGGTATTTTTCATCCATTGATTGGCACAAATTACACAGTGGTAATATCTGGTATGACTAAGGGTGTATTCCTAAGATTCTCTCATGCACTGCTGGTGAAAGTACATGCTAGCACAGGCTTTGGAGGGTAATGATAGCAATAGATATTCTCATTCGGTAATCTGTCTACTTACCTAGCTTATAAAATATTTGCACATATGCATAGACATGTAAATATAAGGCTGTAGCATTGTCATTAGCATTGTCATTAGAAAAGGGACTAACTTAAATGTCCAGGTCTTTAGAAATAGATCATATAAGATCTTATTAAAGGTCTGCAAAATTATAGCTACATAATAATCTAAGAAGGAATCCAATCCATTTTGACAGCATCTATTGCAAATTCTTTGTATTTTTATTATATTATACTTTAGTTTTAAAGAAAAAAGGAAATATTATCTGTAAAACCTTACTGGAAATACACTAGCATAGGTATTATGCCTATACTATGAAACATTACTCAGCTTTAAAAAGAATGGCCTAGATCTACATGTATATATGGAAAGGATTTCTGAGGCTCAGTTAAATGAAAAAATTAAGCTGCAATGTATGTATATTATAACACCATTAGTATAACAGCAAACGCAAATGCTGTTTTACAGGTGTACACTAATACATATAAAGGTATAGAAAAACTTACGGGAGGATAACAGCCAGTTACCAGGTTTCCTTTGGGTTGGGAAGTAAAACTGGGGGTAGGGAGACATCCTCCCTATCCTCTGTATTTGAGTTTTTACCAAGAAAAGTGTTCATGATTAATTTTATAATAAAAAAGGTAAAGTATATTAACTATTCTTTCCAAATAAAAGTCTTTGAGAAAATGATTAAAAGCAACTAAATTAGAGGTTGTGAGAAATGATTCTTAAACAGTCCATGACTAGCAAATTTTTTATATTGGAGGATTCAAATATTTGTGTGTGATCTCAAAGACTAATGGTATTTCATAATAATATTTAATAATCTTCATGTATCTGAAACAAAAATGAATTAGACATAAATGAGGGCTCTGGAGTCCTGGGGCCTGTGGCTGAGCCTCCCCCCCTTACTGCTTTTTTTTTTTTTGAGACAGAGTCTTGCTCTGTTGCCCAGGCTGGAGTGCAGTGGTGCAATCTCAGCTCACTGCAAGCTCCTCCTCCCGGGTTCACGCCATTCTCCTGCCTCAGCCTCCCGAGTGGCTGGGACTACAGGTGCCCGCCACCACGCCCGGCTAATTTTTGTATTTTTAGTGGAGACAGGGTTTCACCGTGTTAGTCAGGATGGTCTCGATCTCCTGACCTCGTGATCCACCCACCTTGGCCTCCCAAAGTGCTGGAATTACAAGCGTGAGCCACCGCACCCGGCCCCCCACTTACTGTTGAATGTGTAGAGCAGCTTCCCAAAAGCCAGCATTGTTTTTAGGTGAAAAATGGACCTAGAAAACCAAAGCCATTGCCAGTGTTGGTGGGTGTAAGGAAGCCATGGATCTGAACAAAACCTCAGTTGTTTGTATTAGAGCCAATTATCAGATTCAGTGGGATGCAAATCTTTGGAGAGCATGTGTTCAATATGAAAATTAAAAAACCGTGAACTTTTAGAATGTGGCCTTATCCAGTCCTTAAAATTTAGAAAATTTTTAGTGCATGTAGCAGCCAGAGTGAAAAATAGCTTTTTTTTTTTTTTTTTTTTTTGAGATGAAGTCTCACTCTGTCACCAGACTGGAGTGCAGTGGCGCAATCTTGGCTCACTGCAGCCTCTGCCTCCTGGGTGCAAGCAATTCTCCTGCCTCAGCCTCCCGAGTAGCTGGGACTGCAGGTGCGTGCCACCATGCCCAGCTGATTTTTTTGTGTTTTTAGTAGAGATGGGGTTTCACCATGTGGCCAGGCTGGTCTCGATCTCCTGACCTTGTGATCCACTTGCCTTGGCCTCCCAAAGTGCTGGGATTACAGGTGTGAGCCACCACGTCTGGCCAAAAAATGACTTTTTAATAGAAATTATTATCGTTAGTGAAATTTCTCAAATTTGAGGATTAGAGAGTCTTGAAAGAGTTCTCGTTTGAATGTTATGAGCCCATCAAAGTTATCTGCGTTTTTCCGTAATGAACCTCCCTTCTTAGATCCAGAAAAGATCTTCATGGTCCTTGGGTCCACCTCCATTTTATATAATATTTCTTTTTCTTTTTTTTTTTTTAAATTCCCAACGCCAATTTTTCTGAAATTTTATATATTTTTGAGTTAAAAAATTTAAGTTGTAAAACTAATGTATATTCATCTTGGAAAATACCAAAAGATATGAAGGAAAAAAAAAATCACCCAGAATCTTACCACATAAAGACAGCTAAGGCATTAGCATATTTCCTTTGATTTCCATGTGCTGTAATTTAAATTTGTCTCATTTTATGCAGTTGGAACAATATTATACAAACGTATTATACAAACGGTTTTATATATTTCTCATTTGTAACATTGCTTTTTTTTTTTTTTTTGAGACGGTGGAGTTTCACTGTTGTTTGCCCAGGCTGGAGTGCAATGGTGCGATCTTGGCTCTCCACAACCTCCACCTCCTGGGTCCAAGCTACTCTTCTGCCTCAGCCTCCTGAGTAGCTGGGATTACAGGCGTGCAGCACCATGCCCGGCTAATTTTGTATTTTTAGTAGAGGTGGAGTTTCGCCATGTTGGCTAGGCTGGTCTCCAATTCTTGACCTCAGGTGATCTGCCTGCCTTGGCCTCCCAAAGTGCTGGGATTATAGGTGTGAGCCACCACACCCAGCCGTACCATTACTTTTATCTGTTATAACTCTATAAATATATACATTTTGGTGACCACATTTTTTATATATATATATATATAGTTTTTTTTTTTTTTTTTTTTTTTTTGAGATAAGTTTTCACTATGTCACCCAGCTGTGCAGTGATGTGATCAAACACCTTGACTCGAATGATCCTCCTACCTCCGCCTCCCCTGAGTAGCCGGGGCTATGCGTATGCTCCATTACACCCTGCTAGTTTCTTAATTTCTTCTTTTTTTTTTTTTTTTGAGACAGAGTTTCATTCTTGTTGCCCAAGCTGGAGCACAGTGGCATGATCTTGGCTCACGGCAACCTCTGCCTCCTGCGTTCAAGTGATTCTCCTGCTTCAGCCTCCCAGGTCGCTGGGATTACAGGCATGCACCACTACGCCTGGCTAATTGTGTATTTTTAGTAGAGATGGGGTTTCTCCATGTTGGTCAGGCTGGTCTTGAACTCCTGACCTCAGGCGATCCACCTGCCTTGACCTCCCAAAGTGTTGGGATTACAAGTGTGAGCCACCACGCCCTGCTAGTTTCTAAAAAATGTTTTGTAGAGATGGGTTCTTACTATGTTGATCATACTGCTCCCATCTTTTGATAAGTTTCAGTTTATGCTTTTATAAATAATGCCAGATTTTTATTCCTGGAACTTCTTACCTATTTCTGATTATTGCCTTAGATTTTAGATTTAGATGTTAGAGTCTCTTGATAAATAATGCAACAAAACTGCTTTGGAAACCATAACCTTTATTTGAATGATGACATGACACACTGCTTGCAGAACGAGCCTGGGGCAGGAATCTCCTGAGTCCTGAACCTGCTTTCTCTTTTGTAATCTTCTGCCTTCTCTTGGGATTTAAGCAAAAGATCAGAGGTTCTTTCTTTAATTACAGTGTTTCCTGCAAGCAAATGAAAGGTGGAAATCCAAGGCAGAAATGTGCACTTGCTCTTCTGTTTGCTGTGGACTCTATGAGAAGGTCTCGTGTTTGTGTAGCATTTCAGCTCCTGCCTTTACAGCTGAAGTAACACCAAACCACAGAACATGTAAAAATGTTTTCCTTACATATAAATATTCCTATTTATGATTTATTGTGCCACCTTTTAAAATTAATGAGTAACATTGTTACATGTGATGGGCAGGGCTTCACGCCCTCATGTAGGCTTTTCAGGGTCTCCACACTTACCCACTTTTCCAGTCCACTCCCCTGCCTCCTCTTCTTCCCCACCCACTGTGCGGTGGTCCATTGGAACTGGCAGTCTACTTTGCCACTCCTCCCTGTGATGAAATTATATGGAGTCTTTCCTCCTGAGCCAACACTCCCCTGCCCCACATAGAATCTGGAAGTCCCCTTCCTTCTATGAGACCTTCCAGCACCAGGCCTTCCAGAAGCCTTCCAGCACCCTCTGCAGCAGCTGTCAGTGTCCTGCCCAGAGGCAATCGCTTCCTGCCCTGAGGTTCCACACACTAATGTGGCACTTGCCTTGCTGAATGCTGTGTTTGCTCTTCAGTCTGTCTTCATCACTAGACGGAGAGCAACTCTGCGATGGGGTCTGCACCTTGTTAATTTCTGTATCTTCTGCAGAACACCTGCCACTTAAAAGATATTCGTTGTTCTTTGGTCACTAAATTAGGTGAGAGTTCAGGCCTGATGTTCTCTGTGGCTTTGTTGCAGGTCTTTCTGTCTGAGTGGAAGGAGCACAAAGTTGCTCTCTCACGGCTTACCAGCCTGGAGATGAAAGATGATTTCCTCCATGGACTGCAGATGCTGAAATCTCTACAAGGCGCACATGTTGTCACGCTGCTTGGCTATTGTGAGGATGACAACACTATTCTTACTGAATATCACCCTCTAGGTTCCTTGAGTAACCTGGAAGAAACACTAAACCTTTCAAAGTACCAAAATGTGAACACGTGGCAGCACAGGCTGCAGCTGGCCATGGACTATGTCAGCATCATTAATTACCTGCACCACAGCCCCATGGGCACACGGGTCATGTGTGACTCCAATGACCTGCCCAAGACACTGTCTCAGTATCTGCTGACAAGCAACTTCAGCATTTTGGCAAATGACTTGGATGCCTTACCCCTGGTGAACCACAGCTCTGGGACACTGGTGAAGTGCGGCCACAGGGAGCTGCATGGGGATTTTGTGGCTCCAGAGCAACTGTGGCCCTACGGAGAGGACATGCCTTTCCGTGATAATCTCATGCCCTCATATGACGAGAAAATTGACATTTGGAAGATCCCAGACATCTCCAGTTTCCTTCTGGGGCACATTGAAGGGAGTGATATGGTCCGATTCCATTTGTTTGATATTCACAAAGCATGCAAGAGCCAGACTCCCTCAGAAAGACCCACTGCCCAGGACGTTCTGGAGACCTACCAGAAGGTCTTGGATACACTTAGAGATGCTGTGATGTCTCAGGCAAGAGAGATGCTGTGAAAACCAGTCCAGCCAATGAAGGTGGGATTGAAGGGCTGAATGGAAGTTATAGCATTCTGCTCTGATGGTGGAGTTTTTTGCCTGAGTTTCGTGTTTTATTTTTTTATTTTTTATTTTTTATGGCTTAGCCATGTGGTTCTTTGTCCACATCCACATGTACATTTGCATGTGTTCCACATTGGTTGTTAGATTTTTTTTTTTTTTTTTTTTTTTTGAGATGGGGTCTCACTCTGTTGCTGAGGCTGGCATGCAGTGGTGTGATCTCGGCTCACTGCTGCCTCTGCCTCCCAGGTTCAAGCAGTTCTCCCACTTCAGCTTCCTGAGTAGCTGGGATTATAGGCACACCACCACGCCTGGCTAATTTTTGTATTTTTAGTAGAGACACGGTTTTGCCATGTTGGCCAGGCTGGTCCCGAACTCCTGACTTCCTTGGCCTCCCAAAGTGTTGGGATTACAGGTGTGAGCCACTATACCTGGCCAGTTGTTAGATTTCCATGGATTTGTAGTTTCCAAAGTTTCTTGTTATTGATTTCTACTTTTCTTCCATTGTGGTCTGAGAAGGTACTTGATATGATTTAGATTTTTAAAAATGTATTGAGACTTGTTTTGTGGTCTAACATGGTCTATGCTGGAGAATGGTCCATGTGCTGATGAGAAGAATGTATATTCAGCTGTTGGAAGAAAGGTTCTGTAAATGTCTGTTAGGTCCATTTGGCCTATAATGCAGATTAAGTCTGATGTTTCTGTCTAGATGATCTGCCCAGTACTGAAAGTGAGGCATTAAAATCCCCAGCTTTTTTTTGTATTAGGATCTGCCTCTCTCTTTAGCTCTAATAGTGTTTGTTTATATATGTGAGTGCTTTGGTATTGGGTGCATATACATTTAAAATTGTCGCATCCTTTTGCTGAATTGATCCCTTTATCATTATGTAATGATCTTCTTTGTCCCTTTTTATGTTTTCTGACTTAGTCTATTTTGTATAAGTATTGCTATTCCTGCACATTTTTGTTTTCAATTTGCATGGAATATTTTTTTCCGTCTGTTCACTTTCAGTCTATGTGTTTTTAAATGTGAAATGAGTTTGTTATGGGTAACATATAGTTGAATCTTGTTTTTTTTAAATCCATTCAGCCAGTCTATGTATTTTAATTGGAGAATTTAAATTATTTACATTCAAGGTTTTTATTGATAGGTGAGGACTTAATCCTGTGCTTTTAATTGTTTTCTGATTGTCTTGTATATATATTTTTCCTATCTTTTTTTTTTTTTCTTTTTTTATTTTGAGACAGAGTCTTGCTCTGTCTTCAGGCTGGAGTGCAGTAGCAGGATCTCGGCTCACTGCAGCCTCCACCTCCCAAGTTCAAGCGATTCTCCTGCCTGAGCCTCCCAAGTAGCTGGGATTACAGGTGCCCACCAGCACACCCAGCTAATTTTTGTATTTTTAGTAGAGACGGCATTTCACCTATCTTTTGTATTGTTTACAATTTGGTGGGTTTTTTTTTTTAATACTCATAATGTTTGATTCCTTTTTCTCATTTGTGTTTCTGCTCTACTAGTGAGTTTTAAGACTTTGTGTGTTTTCATGATGGTAGATACCATCCAGTCTATTTGAAGATCAGATGAGATTGGGCACGTTCAGGGTGGTATTATTGTGGGAATGAAGGAGGACTAGAGAGACCATGGGGGTGAGACAGGAGGATTTTTATCGAGTGCACTCAGACCCAGCTGATTAACATGCAAAAACTGGGCCCAGAACAAAGACAGCACTTGACTTTTATACCCACTTCTAAAAGGGGTTGGGCTAGCTTGAAACAAGCTTACAGTGGCACGAAGCAAAGATACAGAGGCAGAACAAAAGCAGCTAATCAAACTGTGACAGGTTCATGACCCAGGATTACATATGACCCTTGCTATGCAGCTCGGATGGCTAATTTTTTGTATCTTTAGTATAGACGGGGTTTCACTGTGTTCACCAGGATGGTCTCGAGCTCCTGATCTCATGATCCACCCACCTCGGACCTCGTGATCTGCCCACCTCAGCCTCCCAAAGTGCTGGGATTACAGGTGTGAGCCACCACACCTGGCTAGTTTTTTTTTTTTAAACTAAATTATCATTAATGTTAAAATTTAACTGACTGTGTATATAACTGTGCAATTGCTGCTTTGTCACCAAACTAGGATTCATTCAACAGATCACAGAAATGAGGTCTGGCATTTAACAGACTAATGATAGAAGAAATATACTGATTTATACAGGAATATCAAAACACTGTCATGTGGTTTAGTGTAGCTCAAGTTATGAATAAGTGCCAACTCTTGCTGCAGTGTCTCCGACACAATTTTATCTTGGAACTTGGCAATTTGACTTTCTTCACTGAAAGAGTTCTTTCATGATACTCTTCATGAGTTGCTCATATAGCAGCTTAATCTCTTTCATTTGCTCTCTCCTAACAATGCTAACTTGTTGCCACCTCTTTTGTTGCTCTTGAAATATTTTAGTTTTTCTTCTCTCCTCAGTCTTCTACATGTCTGTGTTGTATTCTTGAAGCAAAGTCAGCAACTGCATAGAATATCTATAATTACGTTTCTGCCTTTTATGTTCTCAAAATATCATTTAGTTATGTTCTTGGTTTTGATGCAAGCTTTTGTATACTTTTGAAGCCTTTTTCTTTTTGCAGCAAGACCCTGTTTAATGGCAGCTGCAATTAGTTGTAGCTTCTCTACATCAACCCCCATGTCTTCCTCATCTGTTTCTGCAAAAGGTTTTCTTTCCCTGTGCTCATTAGTTTCTGGATCCTTTTCTCCATGTTCCATTTCCTGGGTGGCCATGACCTGAGCCTCCAACTGGACTTTGGCAGCCCTCCTGTTGCTCCTCCTGCATTGGGTGCAATTGCTAGTTGTCCTGGGATGCCAGAGGTGACTTGATGGTGCTCCCTCAGAGGCTCTGTATAATGCCGCACTATGAGGCTCCTCTGAGGGCCTGGGGTCCTCCTTCCCTCAGTTTTTACTTGTCTGGGAAGGACTTTATCTGTCCTTCAATTTTGAAGGATAGCTTTACTTAGTTTAATATTCTTGGCTGGCAGTTTTTAAAATTTATTTCAGCACTGTAATATATATTATTCCATTCTTCCCTGACCTGTAAGGTTTTGTTTTTTTGTTTTTTTTTGTTTTTTTTTAATAGGAAAGTCTTATAAGTGACTTGATGCTTCCCTTTTGCTGTTTTTAGAATTCTGTCTTTGACTTGACAATTTGATTGTAGTGTGCCTTGCAGAAGACCTTTTTGGTTTGAATCTTTTTTGGGATTACTGAACATCCTGTATCTGGATGTCTGTATCTCTTGCAAGACTTAAGAAATGTTTGACTATTATTTTGCTAAATAGGTTTTCTATGCCTTTTCCCTTCTCTTTCCTGAAACACTCAGAATTTAAATATTTGTTTGGTCTGACTGGGTTATTTCAAAAGACCTGTCTTCAAGTTCAGAAAATCTTTGTTTTGCTTCATCTAGTGTATTTTTGGAGCTCTCAGTTGTATTTTTAAATTTTATTCATTGAATTTTTCAGTTCCAGGATTTGTTTGGTTATTTTTCTTTATCTGTCTCTGTTGAATGTCTGATTCAGATCATGAATTGTTTTCCTAATTTCTTTGTATTATCTGTGTTTTCTTGCAACTTGCTGAGTTTCCCTAAGATCATTATTTTGAATTCCTTTTCTGGCATTTTTATAGATTTCCTTTTCTTTTGAATCTGTTACTAGAGAATTATTGTGTCTCTTTGGCAGCATCAAGTTTCCTTGCTTTTTCATGTTTCTTGTGTCCTTACGTTGATATCTATTGAGCTGGTGGAATAGTTGCTTCTTCCAATTTTATGGATTGGCTTTCATAAGGAAAGACTTTTTTGTAGGTGTATCTGTAGTTTTGGTTGTGATTAGGATGTTTTGGCTTTGATTTTGGTGAGCACAGTTGTATAGGCTCAATGATTTCTTCAGCTGTAACCAATGTCACTGGTGTCTGTGAGTCCTCAGTGGCTTAAGCTGCCATTGTTAGTTGAGGCTGTTGTGAGGCTTTTCTGGGGACAGGGATGCCAGAGGGGCCAGTCCCTGGGCCTTTTGGTGGCATGGGCAGGCTTTAGCTGTGTTGGCGATGGGCTGGGCCTGCTAGACCTCAGGACCCCAGCTGGCATAAGTGCTGGTAGTTGGGGGGCCCAGGTGGGCTGGTCCTCAAGCCCCGAGGCAGTATTTTTGGTGCTGGCAGTGGCAGTAGCAGCAGTGGGCTAAACACTGGACCCTCAGGTGGCAATCACAGCTGTTGGCAGTAGCTGTGGCAGGATGAATAGGCCAGTTTCTAGCCCCTTAGGTAATGCACTTTGGTAGGCACTGGTGGTAGTAGGTGGGGCGGGCCTGTTCAGGCCTTGGGATTGTGTGCATGGGCACCAGTGGTGTTGGATGGGGTGGGCCAGTGCTCAGGCCCCCGTAGAGAGCATATAGGCACCAGTAGTGGCATGAGGGAAAGATGGCACCTGAGAACACTGGTGACGGTGGGTGGAGCAGGCCTGTCTTTAGGTTCTTGGATGGCACATATGGACACACTGGTCCTCAGGCCTCCTGAAGGTACACACAGGCGTGCTGTTGCCCTGCTGAGAGGGGCAAGGTTCTGTTGGTGGCATTGGTGTTGGGAAGATGGCTCCCAGGTTCTGGGAGCTTCAGCTCCCTTTTTCCCGGCGACAGCCTCCCTGGTGTGCGCTACACTGCCTGTTCCCTGGGATATAAGACACTTCATGGGTCAGAGTACTGGGGACCTGGCTGCACTGCTGGGTGATTGTGATACTGCAACCTTCTGGATGGATGTGGGAAGATGTTCTTGGGGGCCGCAGGGATGTAGACTGCAGGGGCTTATTGGACCCCAAGGCAGGATATAATCTGGTGGGGGCTAGGCTGTTAAAATGGTGCTGTGCCACAGCAGCATGTTTCTTGGGGTGTGAGTAGGATCCAATGGAATTGCCTTTCTGGAACAATGTATTTGCATGGATTCCAGGCAGCTCCGTATACTGGGCTCAGGGCCTGTGAAGGCTGACAGCATCCCCTGTGGGTGCCAGCATCTGTGCTGGGAATGTGGACCACTGCGGTTCTTTGACTTTTCTTTCTTTTTTTTTTTTTTCTTTGTTTTTTTTTTCTTTTTTTTTAAATTTATTTATTATTATTATACTTTAAGTTGTAGGGTACATGTGCATAACGTGCAGGTTTGTTACATATGTATACTTGTGCCATGTTGGTGTGCTGCACCCATCAACTTGTCCCAGCCATCCCATTACTGGGTATATACCCAAAGGATTATAAATTATGCTGCTATAAAGACACATGCACACGTATGTTTATTGCAGCACTATTCACAATAGCAAAGACTTGGAATCAACCCAAATGTCCATCAGTGACAGATTGGATTAAGAAAATGTGGCACATATACACCATGGAATACTATGCAGCCATCAAAAAGGATGAGTTTGTGTCCTTTGTAGGGACATGGATGCAGCTGGAAACCATCATTCTTAGCAAACTATCACAAGAACAGAAAACCAAACACCGCATGTTCTCACTCATAGGTGGGAACTGAACAATGAGATCACTTGGACTCAGGAAGGGGAACATCACACACCGGGGCCTATCATGGGGAGGGGGGAGGGGGGAGGGATTGCATTGGGAGTTATACCTGATGTAAATGACTTTTCTTTTCCCAGAAATGGGATGTCTCTCCTGTCTCTGAGCCAATCCAAGACACACTGGCTGCTTTATTTACTGCTCCTTTTGTGCCTCAGAGGTTCCCTGTCACTTCCCTGTTGAATAGTGTTCTGTCTTTGGTGTTCTACCTGACAGGTGGTTACCTACTTGCTTTTTTGGTCCTTTGTTGTGGAGGAGTTGAGTGCCAGGCTCACAGTTTTTTGATTACTATAGTTTTGTAGTATTTTTTGAAATTCAGAAGTGTGAGACCTCCAACTTTTTCTTTTTCAAGATTATTTTGGCTGTTGAGTCCCTTGTGATTCCATATGCATTTTAGATGGATTTTTCTATTTCTGGAATTCTGCCATTAGGAGTCCGATAAATACGACATTGAATCTGTAGAGTGCTTTGGGTAATATTGACGTCTTACCACTATTAAGTCTTCCAGTACATGACCACAGGACTCACTGTGGTTTTGATGTGCACTTTCCTGATGACTAATGATGTTGTACCTTTTCATATGCTTATTGGCTATTTGTATAATCTTCCTGGGAGAAATGTCTATTTAGATTATTTGCCAATTTTTAAATTTGTCCATTTAAAAAATCAGGGTTTTTTTTTGTTGTTGAGTTGTAGGAGTTCTTTTTGTATTCCTTATACTAGTCCCTTATCAGATATATGATTTGCAGATATTTTCTCCCAGGTGGGTTGTCTTCACTTTCTTGGTAGTGTCTTTTAATACACAAAGTTTTTAATTTTTATGAAGTCAGATGTATCTACATTTTTCTTTGGTTGCTCATGCTTTTGGTGTTGCATCTAAGAATCTACTGCCAAATCCAAGGTCGTGAAGATTTACCCCTATGTTTTCTTCTAAGAATTTTATAGGTTTTGCTATTACATTAAGGTCTTTGAGCCATTAAGATCCTTGACTTAATTTTTGTATATGATGTAAAGTCACTGTCAAACATCATTCTTTTGCATTTGGCTGTCCAAGTATCCCAGCAGTATTTGTTGAAATGCCTAAACTTCTTTATATTCCCTTGACCCCTCTAACCAAGGCAGTTGGTTGGACCTTTGCTACTACCACTGCCCTGAAACTGCTATCACTGGGTTACAAAGGACTGGGTAGCTTAGTTGAGTGGATAATCTTTTGTTGTTTCCTCCTTGTAATATACAAGCCGTGGCTTCTGTGACATCATACTCTCCTAGTTTTCCTCCTGTCACTGGCTTCTTCTCAGTCTCTCTCCATCCCTGGTGCTCCTGAAGGTTCTGTTCTCAGCCTTACACACATTACCTGGATGATCTCATTCTCTGCCATGACTTCACTTGCCATATATGTGCTCATTTTTCCCAAATTCCTATTTATCCTGACTTTTACATTTATTTTATTTGCAGGTCATATATCTAATAAGGAATTGATATCCAGTGTACATGTAGAACTCCTGTAATTCAACACAAAAACCAAACAGTCCAATTAATAAATGGAGAAGAGATTCAAATGAACATTTTTCTAAAGAACAACTCAAGCTCAAGATTTCCCAGATAACTTTTCTCTCTTCAAAATCTGCTTCTGTGTTTCCTTATCTGTAGGTGGCACAGCATGCATCTGATTTCCCAAGCCAGAAACCTCAGAGTCATTCTTGACTCCAGGAAGAAATACTGAGTTTTTAAAAACTCAACTTATTGATTCATTATTTTATATAATAAAATGCAACAGTTTTAAGTGTATATTTCAATGAGTTTTGATACATTTATGTACTTGTGTCACTATCCCCATAGATAAAGAGACAAAGCATTTCTATCACACCGGCAATTTCCTATGTGTCCCATCCCAATCAATCCTTTCTTCTCTGCTGGCTCCAAGCAATGACTCTTTCCTATCTTTTTGGAAAGATTAGAATTTCTTTTCTAGATTTCCAGTAATGGAATCATACAGTGTCTAAGTCTATTTGTGGTGCTATAACAAAATACCTGAGACTGGGTAATTTATATAAATTACAGGAATTTATTTCTCACAGTTCTGGATGCTGAAAAGTTTATGATCAAGGTACTAGCAGGTTTGGTGTCTGAGGGCCCAGTTTCTTCTTTGAAGATGGTGCTTTGAACACTGTCCTCACATGCTAGAAGGGGCAGATAGGCAAAAAAAAAAAAAAAAAAAAAAAAAAGAGAGCAAATGCTGTGTGCAGCCCCTCTCATAAAGGGCTTAAGCTCATTCACCAGGGAAGAGCTCTCATGACTTAATCACCTCCAAAGGCCCCATCTCTTAATACTATTGCATTGGAGATTAAGTTTCAACATAAATTTTGGAGGGACACAAATACTCAAACTGTAGAATATAGTAGTGTAGTGTAGTATATATTTTTTGTGTCTGTCTGCTTTTGTTCAGTGTATGTTCTTGAGGTTCATCTATGTTGTTGCATGTATCAGTAGGTTATATCTATTGGTGCATAGTTATTCCATTGTATGTCTGTACCACACTCTTCATTTATCTGCTGATGGATGTTGCATTGTTTCCAGTTTTGGGATATTATGAATAAAACTGCTGTTAACCTTAAAATATAAGTCTTTGTGTAGACATGTTTTCATTTGTCTTGAGCAAATACCTGATTGGTCAGATGGTCATATGTCAGTATATGTTTAATATCATATACTTCCAACTGTTTACCAAAGTAGTTGTACCATTTTATTTTCCCACTAGTGATGTATGAGTTGTATTTGATCCATATCTTTGCCAACACTTGTTATTTATTTCAGCCCATTTAATTTTAGCTGTTTTAGGGTGTGATTAGTGTCTCCATGTAGGGTTTTTTTTTTTTTTTTTTTTGAGGGCCTCTCTCTATTGCCCAGGCTTGAGTGTAGTGGCACAATTGAGTGTAGTAGCTCACAGCAGCCTCAACTTCCTAGGCTCAAGCGATCTTTCCACCTCTGCCTCCCAAGTAGTGGTTAGAATCAAGGTTTCTTTCCATGTGGATATCCAATTTTTCCAGCATTATTTATTGACAAGATTATCCTTTCCTTCATTAAATTCCTTTGTCAGCTTGGTGAAAAACCAGTGTGTGTGTTTATTTCTAGGCTCTCTATCCTGTCTTTCTTTTTTTTTTTGAGATGGAGTCTTGCTGTGTCGCCTAGGCTGGAGTGTAGTGGCGTGATCTCGGCTCACTGCAATCTCTGCCTCCTGGGTTCAAGTGATTCTCCTGCCTCAGCCTCCTGAGTAGCTGGGATTACAGGCATGTGCCACCACGCCCGGCTAATTTTTGTATTTTTTAGTAGAGATGGGGTTTTACCATGTTGGTCAGGCTGGTCTCGAATTCCTGACCTAGTGATCTGCCTGCCTCAGCCTCCCAAAGTGCTGAGATTAGAGGCGTGAGCCACCGCTCCCGGCACCTATCTCTTTTTAGTAAATCTTAACATCAGGTAGTTGTAAGACCTGCAACTTTGTTATTTTTCACAACTGTTTTGGCTATTTTAGGTCCTTTGTATTTCCACACACATTTTTAGAATCAACTTGTCAATTTTAACAACAACAACAACAACAAAACTCCTGGAATTTTGACTGGGATTGTATTGAACTTATAGATCAATTTGGGGAGAACTGGCATCTTAACAGTAGTGATTCTTCCAATCTATGAACACAGTATATCTCTCCAACTTTTTAGGTCTTGTTTAACTTTTTGTAGTTTTCGGTGTTCTGGTCTTGTACTTGTTTTGTTCAATTAAAAAAATTCTCACTTTGGGAGGCTGAGGCAGGCAGATCATGAGGTCAGGAGTTCGAGACTAGGCTGGCCAAAATAGTGAAACCCCATCTCTACTAAAAATACAAAAAAATTAGCCGGGTGTAGTGGCACACACCTGTAGTCCCAGGTACTCGGGAGTCTGAGGCAGGAGAATCGTTTGAACCCAGGAGGCAGAGGTTGCAGTGAGCTGAGATTGTCCCATTGCACTCCAACCTGGGCAACAAGAGGAAAACTCTGTCTCAAAAAAAAAAAAAAAACAAACAAACAAAAAAAAAAAAACAACCATTCCATTGTAAAAGAAAAAAAATTCAATTGTAAATTCCAGTTTTTTCAGTGTCAACATCCAGTTGTTTATGTCCAGAAAATAAAAATACAATTGATTTTTGTATACTGACTTTCAATTCTGTGATCTTGCCAAACTCATGATTTCCAGTAGCTTTTTGAGGGGTAGATTACTTGAGATATTCCACATGTACAATCAGGCCATCTTTGAATAGAGCCAGTTTGTTTGCTTTTTATTTCCTTGCCTTACTGTGTATCCTTGCCTTGTTCTTGATCCACAGGGGGAAGCATTCGGTCTTTGCAAGTGTCAGGTTAGCTGTTTTTTGGAAATGCCTTTATCATACTGAGGAAGTTCCCTCTTTTTCTAGTTGCTGAGAGTTGAATAGGTGATGAATCTGTTGATCACATGGGGCCATATGACTTGATCTGGCCAGAGAAATGTGAAGGAAGTCATAGACATCTCTTCTAGGTAGGTGCTTGAAGAGCCAGTGTAGGATTTGCTACGTTGTCCTCCCACTGCCGCTTCTGCTGTGATGAAGCATTGGGCATCAGTACGAACAAGAAAGGGATTGTTGTTGGGGTAAGCCATGAGGTTCTGGAGCTGTTTGTTAATGTATTACAGTCAAAGGAGAAGGTTCTTGCCTGTAGGACAAACTCCTTGCCTTCATGGAGCTTACATTGTCGTGCAAGTGGGGCAGACAAATGCACGTAATGTCAGGTAGAGATTAGTGTAATGAAGAAGAGCAAGATCTGAGGCTCCAGCACGTTTTAGCTTTATATAGAGTTTTTGTGGAAGGCCTCCTTAAATGAGGCAGCAATTGGCCTGAGAGCTGAATGAAGTGAGGGAGGAGCCATGAGGTGTCTGGGTAAGGAAGGGTCTTCCAGGTACAGGAACAGCTATGCACAGCCCTAAGACAGGAACTCCAGACTCCCCTGGACAGGGAGGGTGTCAAAAAGGTGTCCTCCAAGCAAAAAGAGAAGGGCACATTCACCCAGTGACTCCTGTGGTTTAAGCCAGGGCTAGGCCAGAGAGGGCCGCTGCTGTGTGTTAGGCAGATGACGACTAGTTGGCCATGGCCTGGCCAGACCGCTCCAATGCCAGCATTCTTCAGCTCCTGGGATTTCGAGCCATGGGGCAGGGGGCAAAGAGGAAAGAGGGAGTACCTGAATGTCCTGACATTCTGGCATAGGGGCTTTCTTTGAGAAAAATAATTTGACTGAACTTGAGTTTGTGAGATAGCTCACGACCATTACTTTCCTGAGTTATTCACCTTCAAACTCACCAACAGCTTCTACTGAGGAAGAAGCCTATACTCAACTCTGCTGTCTAGTTCACCTCCTGTCTCCCCTCTCCCCTTACAGAGCCCTGCTCTAGTCACCCCAGATTTCTTTCAGTTCCTTCACAAAGTGACACTTTCTCTGGGCTGTTGGAAAGGCTGTTCCTTCTCCTGAGAACACTCTTCCTGCTTTCTCCTGGCGAACAGCTCTCAGGGCTCAACTTAAATGACAGTCCTCCTGGAAGCCTTCCCAGACAAAAGCCTGGGTGCTTCTGTCAAATGCCACCTTAGCACTGTCCTCCTAATAGCACTAATCACACTGTCTTGTAGCTTTAAAAAATTATCAAATAGAGGGGCGGAGCAAGATGGCCGAATAGGAGCAGCTCCAGTCTCCAACTCCCAGCGCGAGCGACACAGAAGACCGGTGATTTCTGCATTTTCAACTGAGGTACTGGGTTCATCTCACTGGGGAGTGCCGGACGATCGGTGCTGGTCAGCTGCTGCAGCCCGACCAGCGAGAGCTGAAGCAGGGCGAGGCATTGCCTCACCTGGGAAGCGCAAGGGGGAAGGGAGTCCCTTTTCCTAGCCAGGGGAACTGAGACACACAACACCTGGAAAATCGGGTAACTCCCACCCCAATACTGCGCTTTAAGCAAACAGGCACACCAGGAGATCATATCCCACACCTGGCCGGGAGGGTCCTACACCCACGGAGCCTCCCTCATTGCTAGCGCAGCAGTCTGTGATCTACCGGCAAGGCAGCAGCGAGGCTGAGGGAGGGGCGCCCGCCATTGCTGAGGCTTAAGTAGGTAAACAAAGCTGCTGGGAAGCTCGAACTGGGTGGAGCTCACAGCAGCTCAAGGAAACCTGCCTGTCTCTGTAGACTCCACCTCTGGGGACAGGGCACAGTAAACTAAACAAACGCAGCAGACACCTCTGCAGACGCAAACGACTCTGTCTGACAGCTTTGAAGAGAGCAGTGGATCTCCCAACACGGAGGTTGAGATCTGAGAAGGGACAGACTCCCTGCTCAAGTGGGTCCCTGACCCCTGAGTAGCCTAACTGGGAGACATCCCCCACTAGGGGCAGTCTGACACCCCACACCTCACAGGGAGGAGTACACCCCTGAGAGGAAGCTTCCAAAGCAAGAATCAGACAGGTACACTCGCTGTTCAGAAATACTCTATCTTCTGCAGCCTCTGCTGCTGATACCCAGGCAAACAGGGTCTGGAGTGGACCTCAAGCAATCTCCAACAGACCTACAGCTGAGGGTCCTGACTGTTAGAAGGAAAACTATCAAACAGGAAGGACACCTACACCAAAACCCCATCAGTACATCACCATCATCAAAGACCAGAGGCAGATAAAACCACAAAGATGGGGAAAAAGCAGGGCAGAAAAGCTGGAAATTCAAAAAATAAGAGCGCATCTCCCCCAGCAAAGGAGCGCAGCTCATCGCCAGCAACGGATCAAAGCTGGACGGAGAATGACTTTGACGAGATGAGAGAAGAAGGCTTCAGTCCATCAAATTTCTCAGAGCTAAAGGAGGAATTACGTACCCAGCGCAAACAAACTAAAAATCTTGAAAAAAAAGTGGAAGAATTGATGGCTAGAGTAATTAATGCAGAGAAGGTCCTAAACGAAATGAAAGAGATGAAAACCATGACACGAGAAATACGTGACAAATGCACAAGCTTCAGTAACCGACTCGATCAACTGGAAGAAAGAGTATCAGCGATTGAGGATCAAATGAATGAAATGAAGCGAGAAGAGAAACCAAAAGAAAAAAGAAGAAAAAGAAATGAACAAAGCCTGCAAGAAGTATGGAATTATGTAAAAAGACCAAATCTACGTCTGATTGGGGTGCCTGAAAGTGAGGGGGAAAATGGAACCAAGTTGGAAAACACTCTTCAGGATATCATCCAGGAGAACTTCCCCAACCTAGTAGGGCAGGCCAACATTCAAATCCAGGAAATACAGAGAATGCCACAAAGATACTCCTTGAGAAGAGCAACTCCAAGACACATAATTGCCAGATTCACCAAAGTTGAAATGAAGGAAAAAATCTTAAGGGCAGCCAGAGAGAAAGGTCAGGTTACCCACAAAGGGAAGCCCATCAGACTAACAGCAGATCTCTCAGCAGAAACTCTACAAGCCAGAAGAGAGTGGGGGCCAATATTCAACATTCTTAAAGAAACGAATTTTAAACCCAGAATTTCATATCCAGCCAAACTAAGTTTCATAAGTGAAGGAGAAATAAAATCCTTTA